CATGCCATCGGGCCGGGCTCAGGCCTGAAAATCAAGCCTGACGGGCAGATTAGGCCGGGCTTGGGCTTGCAGAAAATGAGATTTTAGCCGTGGTCGGGCCGGGCCGTGTCGGGCCTTTTTTGGCTCAGGCCCGATTTAGCAGGCTCGGTCGAGCCGGGCTCGAGCCTTGGTTTTCAGCACCGGGCTATTTTTGGCCCGGCCCAAGATATACCCAGGTATAGATATGACTACAGAGAGAATGGTCTACGGAATCGATGGGAATGGACCCCTAGCCTCACCTTAAATAGAGGGAACAAGAGTTAGTGTTTATAGGGTCCCTAACTGATTTGGCATGAGAGGGCTTCTTTGGCTTTCACGCCAAGATGATCTTCTTACTTCAAGTCGGGCACTGGACTGCCTCCTAGAGCTGGGTTGCTGTCAGGCTCCGAGGTCGGCCCAACACCAGGCTGCCTGGCCAATGGGCCACCCCCGATATATCAAACCTTCACCTATTCCCAGCGTAATGCGAGTAATAGCATGCAAACGCGCACCCTTGCTGTTAGAAGAACCTTCTTCCCACAACTACTACAAAGAACCTTCGTTGCACCAATTTTGCCTTTTCTTCTAGTTTTTCCCTTTCTTTTCCTTTTTTCTTTCTTTATTTATAAATTGGAACTTCGTACTTATTTATAAATTGGAACATTTTCAAATTTGTGAATATTTTTCAAGATCTTCTTAAAAAAACTGGAGACATATTTCAAATAAATGAATATCATTAACAATTAGAACCATTTATTGAAATCTCAGACATTTGTTAAATTTATGAAAAAAAATTGAAATACTAAAATTCAGGAGCATTTCACAAAATCCAAAACATTTTTAGAAATTAAACTGGAGATTATTTTCTAAAATCCAAGAACATTCCTCCCTTTCCATGAACATGTTTTGAAATCCATGATAATTTTTAAAGTTCATTAATTGTTTTTTCAAATTGGGGAATAAATCAAAATTTGGAACACTATGTGAAATCCAAGAACATTTTTCGAATTCATGAACATTTTATTTGAAATTCAGAGCAATTTTAAAATCAAAAACATGTTTTCAAATTTGTGATTTTTTTAAAAAAAAATCCTATACATTTTTTATGCTAAAGAAAGCAACCAAAAAATAAAAAGAAAATAATGGAAAAAGCAGGGGCACCTCGTCCCCGCACATGGGCCGACCAATATCACACGAGGGGCACATGAGAATCGAAAAAAAAGAAAAACCTTTCTGTGAGTCCCATGCATGGCGCGCTAACCAGGGTGGCCAACTTGGTCAGAAGTACCAATAGAAAGTTCACACAAAGGGGGTTACCCTATGATAAGATGATGGATATGACTATACCTGGCCATGGGCAGCCTGGCCCGGACAACCCAAAAAACCCGGGTCGGGCTAAGCCCGAATATGCCATCGGGCGGGGCTCAAGCCTAAAAATCAAGCCCGATGTGCAGATCAAGCTGGGCCCGGGCTTGCGGAAAATAAGATTTTAGCCGTGGTCGGGCCGGGGCGTGTCAGGTTTTTCGGGCTCGGGCTCGAGCCTGGATTTTCAGCACCGAGCTATTTTTGGCCCAGCCCAAGATATGCCCAGGTATAGATATGACTACAGAGATAATGGTCTACGGAATCGATGGAAACAGACCCCTAGCCTCACCTTATATAGAGGGAACAAGAGTTAGTGTTTATAGCGTCTCTAACTGATTTGGCTTGCGAGGGCTTCTATGGCTTGCACGCCAAGATGATCTTCTTACTTCAAGTCGGGCCCTGGATTGCCTCCTAGAGGCGGGCTCCCGCCAGGCTACGAGGTCGGCCCAACACCGGGCTCCTTGGCCAATGGGCCATCCTTGGTATATCACACCTTCACCTATTCCCAGCGTAACGCGAGTAGTAGCATGCAAACGCGCACCCTTGCTGTAAAAAGAACCTTCTTTCCACAGCTGCTAGAAGAACCTAAATATGCTGGTATAAGTCTTTGTAGGGATTTCACTATGGACTACATACGCAGCAAAATGAGTGAATCTACATTCTAAAATACTCCCTCCGATCCTTTTTACTCCGCATATTAGATTTTTGTCAGGTCAAACTTTGTAAAGTTTGACCAAATTTATATAAAAAAGTACAAACATTTACAATACCAAATATATATACTATGAAACTACATTTCGTAATGAATCTAACAATGTTGATTTGGCATTGTAAACGTCAATACTTTTTTCTATAAGTTTGGTCAAAGTTGGGATATTTGACTTCGGACAAATCTTATATGCGGACTCAAAAGAACCGGAGGGAGTACATCTATATACATCCGTATGTGGTTCATAGTAAAATCTCTACAAAGACTTATATTTATGAACAGAAGGAGTATCATGCATGACAATAATTAAAGTATTACATGATACTAATATTTGATACTATGCATTAGGGAGGTAGTATAATACACTAGTATCATATGCATGATACTAATATATGATACTCCCCGTTACAACCAACCTAATCTCCATGTGATCCCCATCATCGGCCGTGCCGTGCCGTGCCGCGAGAGGAAAAATAAACAAATCATCACCGACTTTTGTTCCATCTGCTATCCATCCATCTCTAACCAACGCCCCCTATCCCCCTATCTCTGTCTTTCCATCCCCATCCGGCGCGATGATGCAAGCAAACCGATCACTAGCGGCGTACGTGACGGCCACGACCACCATCCGCGCAGCCCACGCCCGTCTCCCCCACTGCGCGCGGGGCCCACCCGCCGGCCCGCCGGAACAAAGGTGGGCGGCCCACCAACTAGAAAAGGCCGACCCGACCCGCCGCTTCCTTCGCCCATCAGCTCTCTCTCTTCCTTCTTCCTCCCCCTCTCTCGACCTCATCGCCCACCACCCTCCCCCA